CTGCCAATCCCAACCAGTGAAGTGACATTTTGTGCTTTCAGTGACGCGTCTTTTGCGACCAACAAGGATGCTGCATCACGACAAGGAACTATTATTTTCGCAACTGACAGGAACTTGGAGAACAATCGAGTGGGGATTGTGTGTCCAATTGCTTGGAGCTCCAAGCGTATACCTCGAGTGGTCAGATCCACGTTGTCCGCAGAGGCTGTCGCGCTCAGTTCTTCCCTGGATAGGCTTTCTTGGATTCGTCTCTTCTGGGAATGGATGAAACATCCCGGAAGTAATGTGATGGATCCAGCAGAAATGTTGTGTCAGGCACCGAAAGCCTCCATGGTTACCGATTGTAAATCGGTCTTTGATGTCGCTACTAAAACATCCACCCCGACTTGTGAAGAATATAGGACCTGTCTAGAGTGTATCTTGATTCGGGAAAGACTCAAGGAGAACTGTAGACTAAGGTGGGTAAGTTCCCAGGCACAATTAGCAGACTCACTGACAAAAGCCATGGAGAGCACTTTGCTACGACAGTGCTTAGCACAAGGTAAATATAGCCTATTCGACGAAGAGGCTGCACTTAAGGAGAGGGCAGATAGGAGGGACAGACTCTCTTGGATCAATGGAAGTAGAAAAACTCATGAAGACAAAGACACTTAGAAAATAAGTGGAATGTGAAATGTGCAGTCATCGTCGAGCAGAGTTTATGTCGCCCCGCTTCTGGCACGAGTCCAAGGGAGGGCGGGGTAGTGGGACTTGAGACGCACGGAGGAAACAAGGACAGGGTCCGTTCACAGGGTTGGTTGTAGGTAGAGGCAACCTAAGAGTAGGTCGGATAGGAGGTCCAACACCTACAAGATTCGCACATACCATATACATATATATATATATATCCATGAAACTTGGTATTTCAAGGCCAACTGCCCCAGAAGAAGAAGAAGAAGAAGAAGAAGAAGAAGAATAAACATAATAATAAGAATAAGTTGTGATTTTCTTGGGTATTTGCTGGAGGGATGTTACATGAGGGTTACCGTGATGTTGACATTACATGGGGGTCACCATGATGTTGATGCTACATGAGGGTGTCTCTGATGTCAACGTTGCATGGAGGTTACAGTATGACTTTTTACGGGTGGGGGGGGGGGGGGGGGGGGGGGCCGGGATAATCACGTCCGTTGTGGATGCAGTATAGGTTGTGAGTCACGGTCTCTTTCCTGAAGAGTACTTATATGTTCCATCAATGTCATTTTTTAAATGCGTTATGCTTGGCACAGTGTCTGTCGTGGCGCTCCAACTTAGATGCAGATGTTGACTTGACAAGAGCGCTCGGGAAGCTCTGAAAAAAGGTTTGGCGGAAACGACTTCGGCCGTCGAAACGAACAAACACGGAAACGGGGTAGAAATGCTGAGCGTTGCAGTGTAAAATGCTCTTTGTGACCCCAAAACACAGGGAATTCACCTACTTTTCAAACACCAAGGCCTCAAAACACTGAAAGGGTTCACAAAAACGAGCTCGCCAACGATACGTAACTGTAAAAAATTAAAAACACTGAGGCCCTAATATCAACGTGTGACCAGGTAGATAAGTAGATAAGTATGCAGGTAGGCAGGTAAGTATGTAGGTAGCATAGGTAGTAGGCCAGGGCGTGGAGAATGTAGTGGGGGGTGTTGTGGTGGATGGTGGTGGTGGTGGTGGTGGTGGTGGTGGTGTGAAATATTGACCCCATATCGTATAGTTCGATTTCGGCCACAC